TTTGCAAAGGTTTCACAAGCTGCACTAACGAGTCCAAGCATTTAAAACAGTTTCTGAGTCTTCGTTAATTTTTGGTAAAAAAAATTCTGCCCCATTGAGATGCATAGACCCCCCCAACCAAGAAGCAGCATGGCAGCAGTTAAAAAATTTTTAAAATCAGATTTGAACTTGGGCATCCAAATCCCAGAGGCAGGCATGGCCACAAGAGAACAGCAACCATTTCCTTGCAGAATTCCACATACACAAAGCATAACCCCCCCCCCCAACCAAGAAGCAGCATGCAGGGAAAAAAAATTAAAATCAAGTTTGAACTTGGGCATTCAAATCCCACACAAATCCACAGAAACCCCCAGCCAAAAAACCCCCTGCAATTTCCCCAATGAAAAAAAACCCCATAACCAAAGCCAGACAGACCTAAATTCCCCCTTGCAAAAATCATCAGAGTTTTGCAATACAGTACAGTACAGAGACACTGTAAAACCCATCACCCACCCAGGAGAAGAAATGCAAGCTTACCTTTGAAAGTTCTCCAGCACAGAAAGGACCCACAAGACAGAGCAAAGAGGCAAAGCCAAGCTTTGAACTGCATGTGGGAAAGTAAACCCAGGATGCATGGGGAAGGTTTTTTATCCCTTCCCTGCACAGGCGCAATGCATCCTGAGTACAGGCAGTTAGAAGAACAAATTAGCATTGCCAAACAGCCACCTTTCCTGCTCTTTTTTGAAAACATCGTTAAGTGAAACAGGGGACCTAAAATGCAATCGTTCTGTGAAGTGTGGTCCCAAAATCGTTGTGCGAAAATTCCCCATAGGAAACATCGTTGTGTGAGGCAGCAAATTTTTCAGAAAAAGCCATCGTTGTGTGAATTTATCGTTGTGTGAGGCACTCGTTGTGCGAGGCACCACTGTATTTCTTCAGAGACAGCAGGGATTCTCAACCTGACTTTGCAGTTCTTCCTTGCATAGGAAGAGGAGTGACACTGACTGCGCTTGACCCGCACCTGCAAGCATTAATTGTCAGTATTCCACCTCTTCCCATCACCACCTTTAGACAAAAGGAGAAAAGTCAGATCCTGGCCAAAGCTCCAGCAGAAAAGCTCCACCTAGAACTTCAGCAGGAAACCCAATAATGTCTTGCCTTATGGCCCTACCCATGTCTGGCCCTCAGTTGGGCAGAGTATATGCGTGGGGGTATACTCAGCTTCTGGGGCCTTCCGCAGGATTTTTGGCTGCCAAATCAGAAGGTAATAGAGAATTTTTTTCCAAAGGTAGACTTTACCTGTAAGTCATTCTGTATATCATTCCTTGTTCATCAATAAGCTAGTATTGCCCTCTTAAATGGATCTCTGTTTGTAGGCAAGTTTATACTGTACATAATTCATAACTGTAGTAGGGTTGCAGATCCCCATTTGCATCAAAAGGCAAACACATTAGGACCCTCATTGGCTGTACTTCCTTCCACAAGTAGGCAACCCCAGTTTGATGAAGGTTAATACTTAGTAGTAACAGTGTTGCTGGTTTAAATATTTAGTCAGTGCAGTTTTTATTGGGAGGGCTATGTTGCTTAACATAATAAGTTGCTCTAGAATAGGGCTATTGATATCATTGGGGAACTGGAGAAAGAACTCCTCTGTAAATTCCACTGGTTCAAATCAGCCTACTCTAGTTGTGACTTTATATGCTAAATATTTCAGCCAGTATTTAGCCATGTTCAAAAACCCTCGTCTTGTTTCTCTACATGTAAAAAAAAAAATTGACTGTCAAAATAAAATAAATTTTTAACCTGTTACGTTACAGTTTGATTCTTCTGGTGTGCATGTTGAGCTTACAGGAAAAACAATCAGGGAGTATTTTTATGGGCAGTTTGGCACTTTGAAAGCACAGGAAATTAGGACGATCTAAAAAGTGTCATAGTAAGTGTCATTGAGACTTAGAGTACAAGCTCATTTTGTTATAATGTAGGAAGTCGTCTGTCTCTGTGTTTTTAGAAAAATGAACTATGTATTTTAGTAATTCATTCATTTTTATAAATGTATCTATTAGAACCAAAATAGTTGTACCCATAGCCTTTTCTTATGTCTTCTTAAGCTATTGCAGATCACAAGCTTCTAGTAAAGTGATAAGTGGCGAAGAGCATTTTTCAAGTAAGAAGTGCCTGGCTTGGTTTTATGAATATGCAGGTAGGAAACTGATTGATGCATGCTAAAATGCTGTGTTTTCTTAGGGTTGCTTAACAACAACAACCATGTAGAACTGTGCTTTGTGTTTTTCTTCAGCATTTAACCTATTTTATGTATTTAAAAGTGCAGAACTTTAAAGTGTCAACATCTTAAAAACTAATTTTAGGTTCACAATATTGGTCACTTGCACCACTTTGTCTGCTTCACTTGCATTTTGGCAGATGCCCCACAGAGATCTGTGTCTGAGCTTTTTTGGTAGCAAAAAAAGTCATTCTGCCAAAGTCTTGTTATTACTGTTCTGTACCATCAAATTTCTTTCTATCCATGATGACTCTAATAGGGTTTTAAGGTAGATGAAATGTTCCGAAAATGGTGTACCACCCCTCTCAGCCCATGTAAGTGTCCACAGCCTAGTGATAGCTAGTCCAACACTATCCGCTACACCATTCTAGCTCTCCAAGTCTTATTAGCCGGGGGGGCATGTCCTTCCCTTCACATCTAGATTTAAATAATTGTCAGCGTTTCCTCTTTTCTCCAAGGCTCTTCCCAAGAGTATGAACAACAGTAACTGTAAGAAATAAGAACAGGTAAAAGAGGAACCGTTGGTAACATAAGGTCAATAAGTAAACAAATTACAAATATTGACCCATATCCTACTGAGTAAAACAGTACAAATAAGCTGACACAGAGTTGTTAGGTAACTGCATAATAAGTATTGATCCATAGATTACTTAATAAAGTGGCAGAAATAAACTGTCCTAGTGTAACAGGTCAGTACTAAACAGCAGAGAGAATAAAGGCCAAAAGGTTATGAAAGTTTCCTACTTTTGGAGGCAAACTGTCCAAAGTTAAGAAGTCACTAGATATTATAAGTTGCATGCTGAGTCATGCAACTCAGTATACAGCAGGTTATGTCTGTGGTGATTTTTTAAGGCAGTTTACCTCCAAAAGTTACCCCATTTACGTTGCAGTAGTGGAACTAGGCAAGAGGAGTTTGGTCAAAGCATTACATATAAATAATTTCCAATATGATGGGACAACAGCAAGCTTTCCCTTCGATAGGTAAAGATTGCCAGTCCCTCTCCAGGCCCCAGATACATGTATGGTTTTCATATTACAGTAGTGCCTCGCAAGACAATTGCCTCGCGGGGTGAAAAACCTGCAAGACAATTGGTTTCCGCGATCCCTATGGTGCTTCGCAAGACGGTTTTTTCTACGACCATGCTTCGCAAGATGTTTTTTTCTGAGACTGATGCTTTGCAAGTTGAATAAATTTCATTCGTCTTGCGAGGTTCTCATGGGGAACCTCGCAAAACGATTTTTTCACAAGACGACGATTTTTGCAGAACGAATTAAAATCGTCTTGCGAGGCACCACTGTATTTGTTTCTCTGGTCTTTCATGTGTATGCAAGACATGCTCTCAAGTGCACATGTCAGAGTCTTGTTTCTAAATTGCTAGTACAGTATTTCATTGGAATCAACATTACCGTAGTCTCTCGAGACTGAAGGATGCCTACCTTGGAATCAATTAACACTCTTTATTTTACTCATTGGACAAGGAATGTTGGACTTCTGGGACAAAAGTGACACTCCATAGTTGGCAACAAATTTTCAGCAAAGCTATGTTATCAGTATAGGGATAAATACTTGGCTTCTACAGTTGAAGCTGTGCTGGAGCGTTTTCAGAATTTATGTGTATTTGTGCTTCTGTAACTTCAAATGGAAGGGGAGACTGTATTTTTGCTTTCTTCTGAGTTGCACCACTTATGATATGTTTTCTAAAACAGCAATATTCTAGTTTCAGGCATGAGATGAAAGAAAACAATGGTTCAGTTATTACATGTATTAATCTCTTCTCTGCCTAAAAATGTGCCTGAGGTAAAGTATAGTTGTTTAAACTAATATAATCTAAAGAGGTGGCAGTAGCATAACTACTGGGGAGAGAAATAGAGCCTGACTTGCTGCTATGTATCTTCACAGTTTTACAGCGGCAAAAAAGCTAGAACAGTTCAGGAGGAACACCATTTGAAGATGGCTGTTATTTTACTCTAAATTCTGATAAGGTGCTTTTGTATACAAGTCAGTGCAGATGTATGATTAGATATGCTGCACTAATAATGTAGCTTGTTTGAAGCCTCTCTTGTTAACAGAGATCCCCAAATAATGGGTCTTGTTTCTTACTAACTGTATAACTAGCGACATGACATTCCGTCTTGTGTAGAGAGATGGGTTGGATTCAGAGATCACTTAAAACATACAATAAGCTAAATTGATTTTCCAGTGGCTGTGCTGCCTGAACGAGGGCTTTTAATCCAGGCTAGCAATCCAGAAGTAAGGGTATGTTAATATATTAATTAATGGCATAAGTGAATTCTGTGAAGTTAGAGAGCTATGCATATGCTGGCAGACCCAGATCTCGGAAACCATGTCTACTAAACATTTAGGAAAAGAATGTGGCTGGAAAGCACTTTGCCACACAGAAATGACCCTTCAGTAGTCCGTAAGTCACCCTTCTTCACATTTGCAGCTTCTCTCCAAGGCAATCCAAATTCACCTGTTCTGTCATATGTCTTGTTTTCTCCCAAGGGAGGCAAATACACAATCTTTCTAGTGATTTCTTAGCCTACTTTTTTATCTTTTGAAGGTGATGATGAAGTGGTCGGGCCTGAAGGAATGGAAAAATTTTGTGAGGACATTGGTGTTGAACCTGAAAATGTAAGGTTTGTTACCAAAGATTAATAATGCATTTTTTGGAAAGAACTCGATTGAAATGTTTAAACCACGCACAGAAAGAGACTTCTGTTATACACCCAAAGCCACAAATACCCATTTTCTCGTATTTTCCTTTGCACTTCAATTTTGCTTCCACTAGCTTGTGTCTTCTGTTTGTGGAGTGAGTGTGAGATATGAAACTGGAATAAAAAATGTTTTCTGAAATGATTCTGAAGCTTTGACAGCATAATATTCTGCTTTGGATTCAAATTGCTTCTGACTTGGAGGCAGTCCAAATATCTCTGAAGCAGAAATATTCCCCTTGGATTCATGCCTCATTAGAAGCAAGTATGTAGCCCAAATGCTACAGGACAAATCACAGTTCAGCTAATTTAGATTTGCATCTGTCTTTTGAATCCTTGCAAGTTTATATTACTGTTCAAAGAATGATTAAACTGATCCAACCCTTGTTGAATAGATTCGTTGTGAACATTTTCTTTTTCTTTATTTTCAATCTCCCATCCCCTTACAGATTATTATGCTAGTTTTAGCCTGGAAACTGGAGGCTGAAAGCATGGGATTTTTTACAAAGGAAGAATGGTTAAAAGGGATGACATCATTACAGTAAGAATTACTTATATTTAACATAATCTTTAAATCTATCTGAAATTATAGATCAGGGTGTTTTTTTCAGTTAGTAAACAAGACCCAAAGCCTTTGCAAACAGACTATATTAAACAGGTCTGAGATTACTTGTCTTGATTTGCTTGACTCTCCTATGGATTAAAATGTACAGTGCATCTTTGGTATCAGTAATGGACTGGATGAGGGTGAGTAAATTCAAACTTAATCCAGTCGAAAGGCAGATCAAGGATGCAGCCTGTGCTGCATGAGATGACACTAGCTGAAAACACAGGTGCACAGCTTGGGAGTTCTCTTGGATTCATCTTTGAGCCTCGATGCCCATGTTTCAGTGGTGGCCAGGAGTGCCTTTGCACACTTAAAACTAGTGCGGTGTCATCTGTGTCTGTTCCTGGAGAGGTTTGATCTGCCCACAGTGGCACATGCCTTAGTTACATCCCAGCTGGATTACTGTAATAGGGTTGTCTCTGGATAGTGTCCAGAAACACCAGAGGGTCCAAAATACGGCAGCTAGATTGCTAACTGGGGCTGTTTACAAGGATCACATAACGTTCACTGCCAGTCTGTTTCTGGGCACAATTTAGACTGCTGGTTGTAACCTATAATGCCCTAAACGGCTTGAGCCCAAGCTATCCTAAGGACTGTATTTCCATTTATGAACCCTCTCGGATGTTAAGATCATCAGGCCTTTCTCTCAGTTCCACCACCTTCACAGGTGTGTTTCATGGGGACTTGGTAGAGTCTTCTCTATTGCTGCTCCCAGACTTTGGAACTCCCTCCCACAAGAGGCCAGGCTACCCACATCTTTGCTGTCCTTCCTCTTCCACCAGCAGGCAAAGACCTTTCTCTTCTGCCAAGCTTTACCTCAGTAACCGGCTGCCTGAGTGGGGGGTTTTTAATGGATGATTGTGCCTTACTGCTTTGAACGTGTTTTTTGTATTGCTTTTTTGCTTTCTGGTTCTTCAGGTGGCATATGTTTGATCCTTTTTAGTGTTTGTACACTAACTGTTTTAGCTTCAAAAATTGTAAGCTGCCTTGGGTCCTTTTGTGGGAGAAAATAGAGTAAAATATTTTAAATAAACAAGTTCCCTTCAGTCAAGCTAACATTGATGTTTCTCTTTTCCCCTGTGATGTGTGTCTGGGCCACACAGTGTTATGGGTAATGTTCAGGTTTGCCTGAATTTAATACTGTCTACAGGAGCGGTGCTCTGTTTCTGCATAGCTGAATCAATGACTATAATTCACTGGAAGTGTTGGATCAGTGTCTACAGCAGTAGTGGGCTGGATGAGGGCCTATTCAGATAACATAGAGGGCCTGTTGGTAGGAGGTTTCCCTAGAAAGAGTGATGGAATGTACAGTGGACCCTTGACTTACAGACGGCTTGACTTACAGACTATTTGAGTTACAGCCTTCTCTGGCCGCAAAATTTAGGTTTGACTTGCAGCCTGAAAATTGACTTACAGACCAGAAAAAACCCAAAATGGAACAAAAACGGCCTGTTACGGGATTAATCGGTTTTCAATGCACTGTAGGTCAATGGAGACTTGACCTACAGACTTTTTGACTTGAGAACCGCCTTCCAATACGGATTAAGTTCTCAAGTCAAGACCCCACTGTAATAATAATTTGTATTCCCTCTAAATGTGGATTCTAAAGAGTCATGTTCTTTGATTGGAGCCATGAGAAGCAGAAGCAGCATCCGTAGCATAAAGCGGATCTCACAGCTAAAAGCCAGTGTGTGCTGTGGCTGTCATCTCTGCTGGGGCCATCTTTGGGCTCTCCTTTAGGAAAAGAAGCTGATAGCCTCTTGATTGGACTACTACAATGCTCTGAATGTGGAACCACCTTTGAATTCCTCCCATAATTACTGTATAGTCAGGATAAAACACAGTTGTTTAAGCTATATGGAAACTAGTTCTGTGAATAGTATAGGAACCCATCTCATAACTGCTCAGACAGCTGTCTCAGTTGCCAGACTGCTTCCAGGCACAACTGAAAGTGCTAGTTATTGTCTATAAAGCTGTAAAGCTTGAGCCAGCCCAGTTTCTTCATTGATCATCACCGATAAGCTGGATCACGACTGTTCAGTTGAAACTGTACCCCAATAAGACAATCTGAGACAGAAGATAGATGGATAAATTTCAATTTAGGATATAGGTGAACAATATTTTTCTGCATGCAATAGTGTTCTACTTCAGGCGGTAGGTAATTTATTGCTCCTTAATTCAGTTCTGTCACTGAAAGTTTAGGTGGTCTTAGTCAAAAGGTCAGTTATATAGACACTTCTGGTAATTGCCCAGCTTGGTCACAGCAAGAACCTCTACCTAGGAGTTTGCAGTTGGTGCAGAATAATGTTGCACACGAACTGTTGTGGCAAGAGGTCAGCCTCTTACATAGTTTTGAGGTCTCTGCATTGGCTGCTCAAGTTATCAGCCAACTATATTAAAATAAGCAAATGGTTAAGGTCTCAAGTATTTTCGAGCTCTAAATGTTGTAGAACCAGTTTACTGGAAACAGTTCCTGCTCTTGTATTCTCCTTCCTGATTATAAAATTCACCTTCAGAGGGCCATCTCTGGGTGCCACTGCATGCTGTGGTGCAGTGGCCACTACCAAAGACCATTTTCTGAGTAGTCACCCTCCCATCCCATATAATGCCTACCAGGTGCCATTGTTAGTAACATTTAACTGTCAGGCTGAGAACAGTCTTTTACTTTAATTTCAAGTTTTACTAATCAGGTTTTATTGGTGTCATTTAACATTCTTCCTCTTCTAATATTTTGCTCTTTTATACCTTTTTATCTAATAAATGTCTTCAGCTGTAAAATCTGATTTTATTGCTTTCTTTTACATATTTGTAAATTGTCTCGAGCATTTTCCAGTTAGGTGCTACATAAATATTTTAAACCAATACATACACACTTGAAGATTTGTCCTTTACCAAACCGTCCGCCCAATCTAGCCAATCTTAGAAGGGAGCTTCCAGGGCAAGGCATGTATTTTTATATTTGTGAAGGCTTTCACGGCCGGGATCTAATGGTTGTTGTGGGTTTTTCGGGCTCTTTGGCCTGGAATAGGACAGAGCATGGACAGAGTTCCTACTCCAGTTCTCTAAAGATGCCGGCCACAGAGACTGGCGAAATGTCAGGAAGAACAACCTTCAGAACACGGCCAAAGAGCCCGAAAAACCACAACAACCATGTATTTTTGGTTTGGTTTGGTTTCTTGTCATGGCATCCCACATTGAGAGTGCTGTTTCCAGGGAACTTTATCTGGCAACTCCTTTGCCTTTTTAGTTCCAGGTGAAGATTTCTGTTTTCTAGGCATTGGGTCTTGATCTGTGCTTTCAGTGCTTTGGATTTATGGATGTTGTCCTGGAATATTTACACGGCAGGACAGTTTGTAAATAATATAATCCACAAGTGGGATCTGCGTCAAAATGTTACAAGACATCCTCATACCTAATCATGGTGCTTTGATTCAGAATACCAACCATATCTTTCTCTAGGATATTCTGAACCAGTGGTTCCCAACCTTGGATCCCCAGATATTCTTGGACTGCAGCTCCCAAATATCCTGGCCAGCACAGCCAATGATGAAGGCTTGTGGATATTTCTGTCCAAGAACATATGTGGACCTAAGGTTGGAAACCACTGTTCTAAACAGCTGGGGGACCAAGCTAATTAATTAATTATCTCTCACCTCTCAGCAATGTTTGTGTTACAACCGACTCAACATTTTCTGCCTTCTGGCCTTCTCTGAGTAAGCACCTGCCTTATTGTGCAATTTAGGCACAGATTGCCCTCTTTTATTTTTATTTTTTGAACAGTTTTCATTTCTCCAAACTTAGAGCTTTCTTAATATCATCTAGATTATCTGAGATCCTGTTTTGACTCCTGATGGTGTTATGGTACTGTTTCCTTCAAAGCTGTCTTCTCCAGATTGGTACTCTACTTATGTTTTGGACTGCAGCTCCCATGCTTCAGCAAGCATGGCTAGTGGTTAAGGAACATGGGAGTTAATCTGAAACACCTAGAGTGCACCAGATTAGAGAAAGCCAGTATAGGTGCCTATATGTGAAAAAGTATGCCCCACTGGGTTAGAAGCCTAAACCTGTTTCAGGCCTTAGTCATTCACTATTGGGATAGTAAGAAGGGCTTTCTTGCCCCTCATTGCAGTTTTTAGATAGAAAGCCATTGAGTCTGTTCTACTCATTTGACATGGCGTGACCATCAAGCCTCTTCCCTTTGCTGAAATCTGACAAAAAGCTAGCAGATGGCAAGAGTAGAGAACATGGTAGAGTCAATATTGGGAACTATTTATTGCCATTTTGTGGTCAGGAGGTGCTTACTTCCTGCCTGAGAAGGCCTTGTCATGTACTCCTATTCTTGACTCAAAAGGCATTTGAGAATTTATTTATTTAGAATTTGTCTTTAAACACCTTAAAAACAAATATATTATTATTTATTAAGGTCTGCAGTTGTCCGTCCATACCCTTTCCTTGCCCATGTAAAGCATGTTTAAATTTAACGTGTAATTTTTTTGTCTTTTATTTAAGATGTGACTGCACAGAAAAGCTGCAGAGTAAATTTGATTTTTTGCGTTCGCAACTGAATGACATTTCAACATTTAAGAATATCTACAGATATGCATTTGATTTCGCAAGGGTAAGTGCCTCTTCTCCATAGGAAAAATGCCACCTGGAAAAGTTGTCAAATTTTGAGCAAAGCTGTCTTTAATCTTTCCAGGACAAAGACCAGAGAAGTCTTGATATTGACACTGCAAAATCCATGTTAGCTCTTCTGCTTGGAAGAACGTGGCCACTGTTTTCAGTTTTTTATCAATACTTGGAGGTATGTACATGTTTAAATTAAAAATTGGAATAGGTTGAATATTTTGACACCCTTGTCAATAAGGCCACGAAAACTACTGGCCCACCTGACGCCTACTCTTAGATAGAAATAAATGTACTAGCTGGCCCTTAGGTGTCCTTTGCCTGCTTACCTGAAGAAGATTTCTCTTTCAGATTGATTGCCGTGGCCTTTTCCTATTCCCCGTCACAAAATTGCACACGTCTTTCAGATTTCAAAAAAGATCAACAGATCTCTGTGTCTTTATTATTTATCCCTGTGTTTTTCTCCACTCTGAATTATGATTTTATTAATTGTTATTACTGCTTTAAAATGAACAGGCAGCAACAGGCATGCATTTGGGTACATAGGGCAGAACTTATCTGGGTTTTTGCTTCTTATTTTGTTCCTGGACAAGTAGCTATTTGCCTTTGGGAAATTAGCCGGCTTTTGTACACAGATTTTTCTTTCAGAAGCTGGGAGAGGAATAAATCTCTCTAGGGGCCATATTATTCTGCTAAAAGAAATGGTGCCTCTTTTATTTCCCTTTCACCTCACTTCATACGATGTCCTTCGCTACCTTTCTCCATATTCATGCCTGCTTTGTGCCCTACACAATTTTGTTCTCTGTTACCTTGCCAAAAGAAACTTTCTTCCCTAACAATTCAAGCTGGCTTGATTAAATCCACACTAAAAACTGCTTCCTGAAACATTTCCTGAACCACTGTAATCTGCCTTTAGGGAAAAGATGATTGCATGATTATTTGAATAATTGTTTCCATATACACCATTTTGTTGTCTCAGACCAGATCTCTTATTGTTCTGTAGCAGTCAAAATACAGAGTAATTAACAAAGATCAGTGGTACAATGTGTTAGAATTCAGCAGAACTGTCCATGCGGATCTTAGCAACTATGATGAAGATGGGGCATGTAAGTATTTCCTTTACTTATTTTTATACTGGGCAAGTTTTGTTTTCAGATAAAAATAGTGCAGTACAGAACAAACTGCATCAATAACTTTCATACAGAAACAATCAGAAGAAGGACATGAGAAGGGATGTGGCTGAAAGTAAAAGAAATAAAATAGAATTGAAGGTGATTTTATATTTAAATACACAACTTAGCCTCTTCATAGAAATTGTAAAGCTCAACCTTGTTGACAAAGATCTTGGTAAAAAATCTGAATCAGTTTGATAAATCTTCAGTGTATATGAACAAATTTTAAGTCTGTAATGGGAGGATGCTGAAAACAACTCCCAGCATATTTCAGATATCCAGGAAAACAATAACATTAAAAAAATGAAATCACTGCAACTTTATAGAAAACTTAGTCTGGATTATATCTTAATTTTAGTCTGATTGTGTAACTTTCACAATTTCTAATGTTGATAGCATTCATTTCTGTGGTGAAGAATGCAGTAGATAGGTTGCTTGGTGGAACAAGCAATGTGCATATTACACCTGTGCTAAAACAGTTACACGGTCTCCCTGTTAGGTGTGAAGTGGAAGGTTTTCTTGTTGGCACTCAGTATTTTGGCACCACAACATGTAGGAGACTAAGTTCCTTTTATAGCCATACTTGGCCACCAAGATGGTCAGCGGAGGCCTTCTTGGGAGTTCCACAAACAATACCACACTGTCTGGCCATGACACAAAAGCAGGCCGCCTCAGTGATCATATTCACACTTTGCAACTTTTCCTTGGAAATTAAAGAGGCAGAAGGCTCAGTGGCTTTGGCTGCAGAGCCAGAGGTTGGGAGTTCAGGTCCCCACTGCGCCTCCTTGACAGGGACTTGATGACTCATAGGGTTCTTTCCAGCTCTGCAAGTCAAAGGTTATTATTCTATCTTCATATCCTTTCTGGAAACATATTTATGTAGTGATTCCATTCCTGATTTTTAAAATTATTATTAGTTACTATTTGTAAAGCATACTGTATTGTCAGATTTTCAGTTAACTTGATGTTTAGTATGCCCTTGGCCTTTAACATGTGACTAGAGGTGGGGCTTTCATATTTCATGGACTTGAATGCCCGCTCGCCCACCCCCACCTCCCATTTCAACAGGAATTCTCCCATCCAAAGTTCTGGGGACCTTAGCCAAGAGATTAAAGTCTTCGCAAGTGTTTTCCGTTAAACACACATAAAGAATGAAGGCTCCAGCAACCATTAGTGGTTATGTAAGGAAGAAGGGGATGTGGCTGTGAAGAAATAAGAAATTCCCATGCCATGATATGACTCTGCCTACCTGGGAATTTATGTTCGTCTGCTGACATCTTACTTCAGTTTTTAAATTGTTGGCTAGGATTTCGTGGCTAATTTTTATAGTAGGCAAAATTTTATTTCAACTTCATCTCATATGGGGTTTGCCATATTTCTGCATGCCTCTGTACCCTGCCAAAAACTAACTTTGTGTTGCAGTACAAGGCCAAGGGTAGGGGTAGAATGCTAGATGACTAGCAACCCAGAGTCTAACAAGATTGGGAGAGAGGTTCCAATCAGCACCACCAGAAGTAGAAGCCAAAACCCAGACTTGCGACTTGAGTCAGCAGCCCCCATTTTGAAACTTCTGAAACTTTGTTAAAACCAACAAAGCAACCTGACAAACATGTGACCATAATTGGGGGGATTTTTATGTGTTTTCTACACCATCCAGGGCTTTGTGGTGTCCAGACTGAGGAAGACCTATACAGGTTCAAAAGTAGCTTATATATGTGATTTTTTTGAAGTTTGCCTTTGCCTTCAAATAGTGTATAAAGACTACATGGATTTTTTTAAAATTAAACTTCAGAGGTACTCTTGTGTCTGAGGCCCAGTGTAAATGTAAGGACAGACACGCTTTGAAGGAGTATAAGGGGAGCAAAAGCTTGTTCCTGTAGTTGTGTGTACCTTAAAGAGATCTGGAAAGCAGATGCTTTGTAGGTTTTTTGCTTCTTCCTAAAGACAATGTGATGCTCTTTCCCTACCACAGAAGGATAAGGTGCCTTGTCAAAACCAGGTTTAAAACAAAACAAAACCCCAAAAAACACTTGGCTGGCAAGGAAGTGTAGTTGTGAAGGCCCCATAGATTATATGAGTTATACGTGTAGGTATTTAGCAGTTAAAGGCAAAGGTAAAAGTTCCCCTTGACAATTTTTGTCCAGTCGTGTTCAGCTCTAGGGGGCGGTGCTCATCCTTGTTTCCAAGCCATAGAGCCAGCGTTTTGTCCGAAGACAATCTTCCGTGGTCACATGGCCAGTGCGACTTAGACATGGAACGCTGTTACCTTCCCACCAAGGTGGTCCCTATTTATCTATTTGCATTTGCATGCTTTCGAACCGCTAGGTTGGCGGGAGCTGGGACAAGCGACAGGTGCTCACTCCGTCACATGGATTCGATTTTACGACTGCTTGGTCTTCTGACCCTGCAGCACAGGCTTCTGTGGTTTAGCCCAAAGCGCCACCACGTCCCTAGTTAGCTAAATTTATTTGGTGTTATGAGCCCTGCCTTATCACCTACCAGTTGGGGATCTGGCATATTTATACTTTGTCCCTGCTTTTTAAAAAAATTAAATTGATGTCAAATCCATGGCCAAATTAGTTAAAGATTATTGCATGTAAACATGGTTTAGCCTAGCAGTCTTTACGTTTGCTGTTTCCAAGATGGTTAAAATACATTTTTAACTGGCATTCTTTCATTTTCAGGGCCTGTTCTTCTTGATGAATTTGTGGAGTGGCAAAAGGTGCGTCAAGCCTCATAGCAAGAGCAGCCCGGAAGAAACGTTACATCTTGTGATACCTCCACCTTGAAAAACTGAGTCAAACCCAAGGATTGGATTCACATCCTTACAAACTTTAATCTTTTTTTTTCCTTTTTTTTTTAAAGGAAGCCTTTGTTGCTTGTGAAATGGGCATTGAACCACATCTCTTCTAAGACTGAAAATTGGAAGGTTTTGTCTTAAGTTTCTATCATTTCAGAACAATAAAGATTCAGATTTGTAACAGTCTTAAAAGTGAAGAATATCCCTTGAATATGACTGGGATTTCTATATTCAGAGCCAAAACATTATAGAGTGCATCAGAAGTACCCCATATGAATGTTTCAATTCTGAAGATGTATTAAAATTGTGGTAGTATACAAATCTGATATGATAGTTCTAATGGAATGATTGTCTATAGGAAGAATGATAAACATTAAGCCTTGGCTGGTGGTTTACTTGCCATTTTTTGTGCCATAGTTTACAGATTCACTTGGAGACATGGCCTTAAATTTTTTTTAACAATTCCTAATTACCATTTTGTTGTCTTCTAATAGGACATAAAAACTTGTCTGCTTTTGAACACATTAAAAGTACAAAAAGGATCCCTGTAAGGAAGCTACTTATATGGAGTCTTGGAACAGTCATTAAAATGTTTTTATTATAAACTGGCATAAATATTAAATGGAGAAGCCTAGGAAGACAAAACTACGTCTTCTGGTGTACACTTTACTGAGAACACTGAATTGATCTTCCTCTTCATCTCAAAGTTTGGAGAGCTGTGCTTTACTTCCTGATGACAGTTTTCTGTATGTCACCCTGGAACTAAGAAGAGTTGCACTAGGTATGTTGCCATCCAGCAAGAACATCAGAAAGAATAGTTTCCTGTGGTAGCTAATACTGAAAATCATAGCAAGTGCGGGAATCTGAAGTGTTCACCAGTTCCTTGTTTTATTACTTTAGTACCATCGATTAATTGCCCAAATACTATTGTGCAGTTATATGAAAAGCATAAATTTTGGAATTCCTTAAGAAATCTCTGTAGTTATCTGGTTCACATCAGGTCACGTGACTTGGAATGCAACAGATAATGCTTACAGAAATGTCTTAACTGGCAGTTTACTTCCAGATGTTACAGCTTTTGTGTAATTGTGCAACAGGATTTCAGCCAATAAGTGCTATGCATGCAAATGTTACTTATGTTAATTCTAACATACATGACCACACACATCATCGTACATAGGAATTTCCAAAACCTGCTCTGACATATAAAGAAATAGCAATGAGTTGATAGCTGACTGAACATTCAGGAAATAATATATCATCCCAGTTTCCAGTTGCTGTTTCTTTTACACCATCCTTTAGCAAATTGGGTCAACAATGTGATGTAATCATCCTTGTTAATATACGAAGCTATGTTGTGGGGGTAACATTTGCCTCAGGATAACAAGAAATGTGTTGTGCACACTATAACTGACTTCAGGTAGGATGAGAATAACCTCTTGTCTAGAAAAAACATTTTGTATATTTGGCAGGGGGAGTTTTCAATAATTGAATCTTTGTTCAGTAAGGGCTATTTCGTTTTCAGTTCTACAAAGCTGTTCAAATGTTTGTTCAAGCTAGTCTTTGAATTCAGTTTCAGTCATCTTGTAGGTATGACATTACAGTGGATTTTTTTTTCTGCAGCTCTTCAGAAAAACCTGCAAAAGGCAGGTTTGGTTAGGCAACATCTCTAACTCTTTGGAGACGCTACACTTGTGTTAATAGGTGTTCCATTTCATTTTAGGAAGCTTGAAGTGACCTCTTCCTTAGTCTGAAATATACTTAGTCCGCCAGTCCTTGACTGGACAGAAAGCCATTAATGTTTGATGCCATACCACTTTTTTGGAATACGCCCTAAAACTGTAGTGCTCATTTATATTAACTTGGGAGTAGGTTCTTCTTTACTGCTTTGGTACTGTTTCCAACATGTAGGGAGTTAAAAGATTGCATGTTTGCTAATCAGACTGTTGAATACAGTACAAGGTGACTTCCCGAAATCAGAGGCTTGTCGCAGAAAAGGCTCTCTAAATGAGCAGAAGAAAATCCATATCCAAACAATTGTTATGGATGTGAAGTGCGATTTATTCTGCCTGAATGGAGTATGAAATGATTGCACAAATGATTTCATAATAACTGTCAATATTGAAAAGCCTAGTAACTTGTAATGAGCCTTGTTGGTGTATCCCAGGAGAGGAGATGATTAGACTGGCATTCTTCCCAGAAAGGGACAATGCTGTTCTTTAAAGCCACAAGGCCATGTTGAGCCTGTTGCAACATGCACTATATTGGCCTCCAGTATTACAGTTTTCCAACCTGTCCAGCTCTGGTTTACATGGGAGCAAACAGTTTCAAGCCATAGCTAATGACAAACCTTGTAAGTGTAGCATGCATTGTCTTTCCCACCTCCATTTTTGCCACAGTAGCATCCTAATCGAGGTCCCAGTGATATGCACAACCCCTTGGGGACGTGCCCCAAAAAAAATGACACTAATTTCTGAGTGTGCTTGCTTAATAATTTAATAAAATAAAATAAATTAATTAATATTGAACAGCAAAGTTATCATGAAGTATTTCCCAAATCCTTGTACTTTAAAAAAAAACCTTTTCAAGTTTTCAATGTCTTGATTTGCAAATCAGGAAAAACTCCATTGTGTCTATCATTTAAACAAGCAGACATCATTTAATTCAAGTTGTGAGATCTGTTTTATAAGCAACTTTATCCTGAAGTAGCTGGTGTTAACCTGGCAATCAGTGAAGTGTGTCCACCAATGCCAGCATCTTAATGTGAAGGTATCAGACTGCTGTGTATGACTTGTATCTCTGAGGTTTTATCACTATTCTTATAATAAAACCGTATTTCAGGGATTGTAGCATTCTTGAGAGTGTTTTTTAAAGATAAAATATACTGTTTAAAATGACAGTAAAGATGTCCAGAAATGTTGAAGCTATGAAAGTAAACTTGGAAGTGGGGGACTAAAAATACAAAACGAGGGAGAATTAAAACATTTTTTTAAAAAAAAGACAAGATAAAGTCACTTTTTTAGAAGTAGGTTGCTATTGTGCACCCATGTATCTGAACATAAGGCCCTTTGAACCCATTGGGTCTTACCTCTGAATATAAATATATAGGATTGCTTTGTTAGAAATACAATTTTATGCATATCACCAAATTTGGGCTTTTTCACAAAATTAGGGCAACATAACTAAAATTATAGTTTATACATGTAATGATTGTAAATATTGATTCACATTTAATTCTACTTTTTACTTCCAAATATTTCCATAAGCTACTAAACTCTTAAGACCAATATCATCTAAGCCTGTTCTGCTTATCCGCCACCAGCCAACTGTGTGAGTAGTTTGTTTTCTGGGAACATGCGCAGGGAGGTCTCCAATACCACTTTGTGCATGCTTAAGACACCCGTTCTGTTCCATGGAAAAAATTTTGCAGTGTGCTGCACAATGTCCTGGAGTTCTGAAAAAGATACTGGTCCAAAGAGATTTTGTAGCAGTTTATAAGAAGCAGGCTAATAGTTCTATAACATTTGATTGAAATTATGGCACATTGTGGACTTAATTTCCTCCACAATGTCACACAAGTGCAAAAACCACGATTAGTGGTGGCCAATCAGCTGCAGTCATACCTGGAGGAGCAGGATTGCCTTGACCCATTCCAGTCTGGATTCAGGCCGCGATGGGGTACTGAGACAACATTGGTCATGCTGCAGGATTACCTTTTAAGGGAAGTTGACAGGGCAAATGCACCCTGTTAGTACTCCTAGGTCTCTCAGCAGCTGTAGATACTGTCAACCACAGTATTCTTCTGGACAGGCTCTCTGAGGTTGGAATTTGGGGCTTAGCATTGAACTGGCTCCGATCCTTCCTCAAGGACTCTGTGCAGAGAGTTCAGTGAGGGGAGGAGGTGTCAGCATCTTGGACCCTTCGGTGTGGTGTTCCTCAGGGTTCGGCACTATCCCCAATGCTGTTTAATATCTAAAGCCATTGGGGAAGGTCATCAGGAGTTTTGGAGTAAGGTATCGTAAGTATGCTGATGACATGCAACTCTTGTGTCTCAGCACCTCTGCAGTGGATGCTGTCTGGACATGGGAGTGTTGCCTAGTTTCAGTACTGGAATGGACCATGGCTAACAAGCTCAAACTAAATCCAGACAAAACAGATTTTGCTCCTGGGGGGGAGGGACCTCCAATAAGTTAGGGAGGATGGTCTCTAGGCTGGATGGTACTCCAATTGAGAGACAAGTCTGTAATTTGGGCATTCTTCTGGACCTGCTCTCTCTCGGGAGCCCCAAATTGCAGCCATGTCTGGATCAGCCTTCAACCAGCTTAGACTAATTGCCCTACTTTGCCCCTACCTAAACAAAGACTCCCTCAGGACTTTGGTGCAGGCCCTGGTCATCTCCCGGATTAACTACTGCAATATCCTTTACATGGGGCTCCCCTTGAACTGATCCAGACATTTCAGCCAGTCTAGAATGTGTCAGCCAGAGTGGTGGTTGGTGCAAATAAATTTCACCACATTACTTCAGTTCTGGCTCACCTCCACTGTTGCCTCCAAAACCATGGAGGGTTTTGTATATGTCAAAACCTTGAGGTTTTGACATATACAAAGCCCTCCATGATTTGGGCCCATGTTACCTGTTGGAGTGGAACTCCTTTATTTCTTCTGCCTCATCCACAAGATCATCCCAGTCAAGGCTCCTCTGACTGACTGCCCTGACTACCCATAAATCCTCTACAAGAGGTAGGACCTTCTTTGCAGTGGCTCCAACTTTATGGAACCAGCTTCCGGAGGAGCTCTGCCTAGCCCCGTCCCTGTGGAGTTTTAGGAGGCAATTAAACATTGCTTTTCAGGGAGGCTTTCCACATTGACCCCAGCTGACCACCTTCCTCCCCTTTTTTTCCTCTCCCCTCTTGTTCCCTCTTTTCCTTGATCCGCTCTGAGATTAGTTGGTGCCATTTGGGTTTTTTT